CTGTAAAAAATATCGATTTAATTTTAAACTTAAATCGTTTCTGAATTAAACTATTTTCTGTTATATTTTTAATAAAAAACAAACTTATTTAATAAACGGAGATTCTGAATTAAAAAATCAACAACTATTTCTCCATACATTTCATTTTATACTTTCAGTACTTTGACGAACAATAATATTAGGTTATACTTTTGTTGCCTAGAAACATGACATAAAAGCCATTGTTGAAACGTAGTGTTACCAAAACCTACTGGCATTTCTATGTATTAGAAGTTGTTAATCTGATTTTTACCAATCATTATTCTACCAATACGCCACGAATTCATTTCATGAACGATCTTAATTTTGATTGGCTCACAAAGAAATTTACCGATGTGTGATTGCCTCGACTGCACTTTTCGCTTCTTCGTTGTTCAAGATTGATTTCGCAACATTTATTTATTTCAGTTAGCTATGAAATTTGAGGTTAAGGTATGCTATGGGGTGGGGGTGTTAGTACTTGTCCCCTCATTTTTGACGGACATACGCTTGAATGGGTAATGAAGAAAAACTTTAATATAAGCTTAACATAACAGCAAATGTACAACGTTTCGACAAGGATTTGTCATCATCAGGTACAAGTAGTTTACACTGACACGGATATATATATATATATATATACAGTATGGAACAAAGAGGTCGTCACCGGACTAAAGCACCGTCACCGCAATAATAATATTGAATAACCGTCTTTCTGCATATTTATTTACAAGTTAGTATATAATCGATCGTTTGTTGTTAAAAAATTAAATTATGATTACTTGTAAGTGTTTTTGCTGTTTATATGAATAACATTCGCATGTGAACTTAAATTTGTCCAAATGTTGCTTGCTAAACGGAGTATGTGCGCTTGGTTTGGTTTTGAATTTCACGCGAAGCTGCGGGGTCGTCAAGAAATAAATGTCGCTTTTTTTTTAGACGAAAAACCCAAACAACTTATATATATCCAAACAAATCATTTAGGCCCCCCAGTGGCACAGCGGTGTGTCTACGGACTTACAACTTCTAAGTGACATGAAACGAATTGTCTCGGTCCCAAGATTTGCACAAAGGAAAACTTTTTACCCAATCCCTTAGGAAACCCAGAAGTTTCGTGAAACACTTTCACAAAGATTCCACTAAAGCGGACCCCCAAATTTGCATTCATTTACACCAGAGCACGTAAATAAATAGGCCTACTAATTACCGTTCGTAACTTGGATAAAGAAGTTAAAACTTGTATTAAATCGGTAATGATCATTAAACTTAAAAAGTGCAAAATGGTTGTTAAAGCATTAAACTTATATTACAGTGGCCCTGTAAACGTGGGTCATAGGCCCACTGGTTCGCTAGTAAATGTAATAAACATGTGATTATAAATAAAACACTATTCACAATATAGTTTGTTTTTTAATTGCGCGAATAGTACTAGTATATATATATTATAAGCTATGCAGCATTAAGCGCATCATCTTGCTCAATTTTTTCAAACCCCCCCCCCCGATCTAATTGGAGGGCTGCTATAAAAATTATTTTTCCAGGCCATTTTTAGTATCCAATCAGCCCTTGGTACAGAGATATTCACTAGTTTCTTTTCTTTTTCACCATAGGTGAAATTGAAAAGAGATTTTGTGACGTAAAGGCCTCATACCGTCATATGTTCTTTGAACAGTTGCTCCGCTGTATAATATCGGATAATGAATTTGACGAAAAGTCGTAGCATTATTCACCTAAATTAATTTATGTTACTACATGGTAATGTAAGACGGACTCAAAGTACCCATAGAGATATTTACTGTTTAAAAACTGTGTGGATACCTTCTAGCCACATTAATTCAGTATAGAAATTATTGCTTTAGGAATTCTACATAGAGTATTATGTAACTGACTACGATTTCTGTGAAATAAATATGTATATATACACAACAATCGTGATTTTAAATATTAATACAAACCAGTGAGAACAACAATCTCACGTGCTTGATAAGCCGCTTTCATTCTATAACGTACCCTACTGATCACGTGGGTTTTGGTGTGGTGAACACAGTATCAAGGTTAACAGCGCCCTACGGCATTACACACACGTGTTTAGTTATGCCCACCACTCAACTTCTTACACACAAATGAATCAACGTACATGTTTTTGTTAGAATTATCTTCTGATGATAATATAAAAACCTAATGTGAAAGCGTCGGCTAGACCTACATCAAACACACACACACACTACACAAGTCATTAGACCTACATCAAACACACACACTACACAAGTCATTAGACCTACATCAAACACACTACACGAGTCATTCCCTACCTTTTAATGGATATAAATAAATACCTAGTTAGTTTTCTTCCTTTTAAAAGGATGTTCTTCAGATAATAACAATTCCATTTCAGCTATTGGTTAATCACTTCCTTATCTACTACTAAGCAATGTCTGTGTACGGTTTTTCGTGATTTTTTTGTTTTTTAAGGCAAAAGTCACCTAAACGAAATTGGCTGAACCATCGTTGACACTTACGAACGTTCAGCTACCGACCCATCTTTTTTGTTTCATATTCACTGGGCTTAAACTATCTTGGTCTCTACATCGACACTTGAAGCTTCATAAAATCAATATAATGTGAAGGCCCTAAAACTAAAAATTTTAAGTAAGACAATCAAATGGTAATCACGTGGAACCCCACTCAGACATCCTTATATTAACAATGCTATTCACCTTTAGGTAAATATTATTCAGACCAGGACGATCTCTGATAACCCATAAACCAGAAGTCCTAGTTTTCATATCGCGGGCAGACATAGCCGCCACTGGAACTCCAAGAATGTACGTGACCCACTCAGTGTCAGCAGACTCGGTTACTGGGGTCGTCTCTCATAGAATGTTTAATTGAAGTTCCCTTCTAACATACCATCATATAAAGTTCCAGAGGTAGAAAACCGGGTCAAAGCCTGAAAATTAGTTAGCTTCTGATGATTCAAACTAAACAAACACACACACGAGGGTTTCGCATTTCATTAAACCTAAATTTGAATAGAATGTGTTGATTTACGGTTTCGGTGGTAAAAAACAAACAAACAACAACTCAAAACACATTTCATATGCCAGTTGTATTCTGTATGATGCGAGCTAATATTCCTTCAGCAAAAAGACAAATATCACCAACCATATAATGCAAACAACACCGACTTATTTCGTTTATGTTTCTGAGCTACAAATCTGTTCAGAATTGTGCTTCTGCTCTCAGTAATACTAATAGAATGTTTTTTTGGTTAATCGACCGGCTTGTTCTCTGATCGTTTATTTTCGGTATAAACTAGTAATACATGTTAAGAAACAAAGCAAGCTTCTCATCTGATACACATAACAAGTATCGTTGGTTTAACTTAGTAGTTATTTATATATCTGTTTATTTAGAACGAAACTAAAAATCAACCTGAAAAGTCAGTACAACTAATTTCATACACCCTTGTTATGTGTTTTATACTTATAAAGATTAAAATGTATTGTTTCATTATTTGGGTACCCTCGCTGTCAACGATATTTTCGGCCGTAATCCAAAAAAAATATCTCATTAGATTTGGCTAGGTTAATCATTAATACGTATATTAAGCTAACAATGCAAAATAATCTTTATAATAACAAGATAATGATAAACAATAAATAAAAAGTAATGAAATTCGATATACTACGTTGTATAGTCAACACTGTTAACACTAAATAATATACCTTAATTAGGGAACACAGAAACACTAGCTATCGGCTTGAACTACTGTCGTAGAAGTAAATTTGTTTGATTGTTTTTGAATTTCGCACAAAGCTACACGAGGGCTGTCTGCGCTAGCCCTACCTAATTTAGCAGTGTAAGATTAGAGGGAAGGCAGCTAGTCATCACCACCCACCACCAACTCTTGGGCTACTCTTTTACCAACGAATAGTGGGATTGATCGTCACATTATAACGCCCCCACGGCTGAAAGATCGTCATGTTTGGTGGGACGGGGATTCGAACCCGCGACCCACAGATTTCGAGTCGAGCGCCCTAACCACCTGGCCAGTAAATTTGTTTCAATGTATTTTATCTTAATCAAAATTCGTGCAATAAAATAATTCAGTTGTAATTATTTAATAATGATGATATATATAACACCCTATGTCTATCACATATAGGTTATAAGTGAGTTGAGACGGATTAAACGTTTCAGAACGTAACTCTAACAGTGTTACAATAAAAGAAAAGCACAAACCTATTTTTGGTTAGTTGCATCAAAAACAACAACAACAAAAAACACTGCATAGATAAAAGTAAGCCAGTTGTTCACAGGACGCAGTACAGACGAAAAACATAGCCAAGGGGGCCCGGCCCCTGAAATATCTAGGCATATTGATCATATATTATTTTCAGATTTTATATATAATAAACTCGTTTTGTATCATTTAATAATAAATAAATAAAATTTCTATAAACACAATTACATTTCAGTGATTTATTTTAATGACCATTTTACTAAAAATTTAGATCAATTTCAGCTTTTCAATGTATTGCTCCCCCCTAAAAATTTTCGGACCCCCCCCCCTCCAGAGTGGAAAACCTGGCTTTGGCATTGGATGTTATGTAAAACATCTTAAGAATATTACATATAGTTTATATGTGGGTTGAGACAGTTAAACGTTTGAGAACATATCAGAGAAAAAGTATAATTTACAATTCAATAACATTCACACAATCCCTGTAGTCTTACTAAATTCAACTATTTAATTAAAGAACTTGTATACTTATTTCTACAAAACAACGTTAACTTTGCTTAGGCTAAAAAAAAGATTGACAGAAAACCAAATTACGACTACTAATAAATAACGTAATGTTGTTCCAGTTTTTCGACCAACTTTAGATATAATGTGGTTATTTACTGATCTAACAAACATCATGAAATATATAAATAAACTTAATGTATAAAACTGATTATAAATGAAAAACACAAACCTATTTTTGGTCAGTTGCGTCAAAAAAAACAAACTGCATAGATAAAAGTAAACCAATTGTTCACAGGATGTAGTACAGACGAAAAACAACGATGATATACTTAAGGCAGCGAACAACTATATACACGTCCTACTAAACTAACCATACCCAAAGTACTAATCCACCTCGCTCTTCAACTCTTCTGTAATTGGCATATTCGCCTTGAGGCTGCATTATGTCATCATGACGTCACAGTTTCTTCTTCCGTCCCAGAAACACGCAAGTTAGTATGGTTGATTGAACAGTACGAGGAAAGAAACAAATGACGCAACAGAAATATGATAAATTCTATGTACATACTAAGTACTCATTTTTCAACAAGCTTTCTTATACTACTAGTACATTCTCACGAATTGAATAATAACTGTGATGTTCTAAAGAGACCGAATAATAACTATTCTCGTAGTTACTTAAAGAAAATCGATTTTATACTATTGTTACGTCTCCGTTTGTTAATTGATTTTCCGTAAATTCGTTCCGACGAAACTTTAGCGACATAAGTCCTTTCTTAAAT